CCCGTGGGGCCAACTTAAGGGATTCTTTGAAACCCAGTGTTTCTATATATCTGCGAAGCTATGTCCGTTTGAATGCGATGAAAGTAGAATTCATCTTCAGAAAGTTACGAGCAACTAGGCATAAAGTAAAACCGTGGAAGTAATTCAAAAATAAAAAACAATATGGCTGAGCTTTCCCAAATAAAATGAATCTTAAGTTTACCTTATGAAACACCGTATGATGAATGATCAAAGAGTGCTAAATATGTATTCTCAAATAAGTGTTACAACAGTGCTGAGTAAACGTTATCAAGGTATTCAGTATTTGAGAAAATGACCATAATTTTAGAAATTATAGAATTTTGATGATAGGTTCATGTCATTTAACATCCAAGTAAAGTAAGTCGCCGATTCAATATAAGCTACGAATGCAATTAAATTCTTATTCATAGTTACAAAAGTGAAATAAAGAATGCATACTGAAATAATTTAACAAATTATAACACACATCTAAACAATTTTAGTAATTCTCATTGAGAACAACAAAATGCAGTTAAAATCGAGAAAATGGTATTCCCGGGCCGTGGATATAGAAAATGCTTGCCTGTGCATGGCCTCAATGCGAGACTGATCGTCAGGTAAATCTAAAGTATTCAAGAGAGCCTCTTCAGCAGCTGCACCGAGTAAGCCACCATCAACATAAAGCAAGAAACGTTTGGCGATGTTCGCCAGAGTGTAAAAGTTGTAATCTGTCCAGTTGATTACCCTGCAACTTTCTAGGTCAGATATTATCTTTTTCATATCTTGAGGATTTCCTGGCCTCCGAAAAAGATCTGTTACTGCGACTCCCTCTCGTGCAATAAATACGAGAAGATCCTTTGTGGTTATAAAGAAACTAAATATTACCCTTATTTGAGTAGGAATATTTTCTGATTTAAAGGCATCTGAAATTTTTACATTAAATAGAACCCGAGTAGGCCTCCTATGAAGGCCTTTATTCTTGCGACTGACACAAAACCTAATATTGTCCAATATAGGCATTTGTTTAAGGTCTACGAGCAAGAAATGCCTCGAAGGATTACAGTTGACAGAGCTATCCAATAGATGCAATAACCCGAATCATTAAGCTAATTAATGAATAAGTAATTATTCAAAAAATAAACAATGAACCTTTCTTCTTTTCACTAGAAAACATAAAGGCAGATAACAAAAACGCCCACGAGTTTGAAGGAATTCATAGTTCCGCGCTCGATCCGTAAAAGAGACAGTTGGGCAGAAACTTGATAAATCATTAATTAATTTCAATTTCAAATTTTTAAAAAATGAAATAAGATGTAAATGTGATCTAATG